TTTAAAATATTAATATGAAAAATTTTAATTAAAACAATTACCTTTTCCTTTAAGGAGATAAACACAAATTCAATATTGATGTAAATGAGATTGCCACAATAACAGTATTGAAGTAAATACTTTAAAATATTAAATATGAAAAATTTTGAATTAAAACAATTACCTTTTCCTTTAAGGAGATAAACAGATATACAATATTGATGTAAATGAGATTGCCACAATAACAGTATTGAAGTAAATACTTTAAAATATGTAATATGATAAAATTTTAATTAAATGAATGAACCGTTTCCATTTAAGTGAGATAAACACAAATTACATTATTGAAGTAACAGACTTTTATCTAGGAAATATTTCGAAATTTTGTAAGCATAAATGGTATAATTGTACAAAATGACAGACTAAACGTGATCTTGGACTGATACCCAAATTATGGATAATCAAACTACAAATTGGCGCTCACATCTGATTACAATGTTGTGAGACACTATTAGTATATATGCATTGACATGAACTGAATCGTCAATCCCTGAATAAGTTATATATATCATTGGATTTATACTTATTTATATAATCATCAGATTTCCTCACATCTTTTAATTTTTTTGAGATTCTATTAGTATATATATGTTACCTAACTTAGTAGGAAATCCCTGAATAAATTTTTTATCGTTGGATTTATACTTATTTATATAATCATCAGATTTCCTCACATCTTTTAATTTTTTTGAGATTCTATTAGTATATATATGTTACCTAACTTAGTAGGAAATCCCTGAATAAATTTTTTATCGTTGGATTTATACTTATTTATATAATCATCAGATTTCCTCACATCTTTTAATTTTTTTGAGATTCTATTAGTATATATAAGTTACCTAACTTAGTCGGAAATCCCTAAATAAATTTTTTATCGTTGGATTTATACTTATTTATATAATCATCAGATTTCCTCATATCTATTAATTTTTTTGAGATTCTATTAGTATATATAAGTTACCTAACTTAGTAGGAAATCCCTGAATAACTTTTTTATCGTTGGATTTATACTTATTTATATAATCATCAGATTTCCTCATATCTATTAATTTTTTTGAGATTCTATTAGTATATATAAGTTACCTAACTTAGTAGGAAATCCCTGAATAATTTTTTTATCGTTGGATTTATACTTATTTATATAATCATCAGATTTCCTCATATCTATTAATTTTTTTGAGATTCTATTAGTATATATAAGTTACCTAACTTAGTAGGAAATCCCTGAATAACTTTTTTATCGTTGGATTTATACTTATTTATATAATCATCAGATTTCCTCATATCTATTAATTTTTTTGAGATTCTATTAATATATATAAGTTACCTAACTTAGTAGGAAATCCCTGAATAATTTTTTTATCGTTGGATTTATACTTATTTATATAATCATCAGATTTCCTCATATCTATTAATTTTTTTGAGATTCTCTTAGTATATATAAGTTACCTAACTTAGAAGGAAATCCCTGAATAAATTTTTTATCGTTGGATTTATACTTATTTATATAATCATCAGATTTCCTCATATCTTTTAATTTTTTTGAGATTCTATTTATATAAGTTACCTAACTTAGTAGGAAATCCCTGAATAAATTTTTTGTCGTTGGATTAATACTTATTGCAATGTTACACATTTATTAGCATTAAAGGATATATTATTTTATTAAATAATATTAATTTCACAAATAAATATATAATCTTATAATACATTATTTATAAGGGTATCATTTAGTATAAATATTCGAATAACGTTAAATACAGAAAAAAATAATTGGATAAAAAATGCGCATAAATGCAATACAAAACGTTAATAAATAAATAAAAAATCACAAAAATTGTGGATAAATACAATATAAAATTAGGCTATAAATGTAAGAACGACCATAAATATTGTAATTGGCATATACCACTTCTGTATGACCCGAATAAAATATAAATACTTAGACTAATAGCTGTTATTTTATTGACAACATGAAAATTATTGAACAATTAATATAATTACATGACGGAGGAAAAATCGTGAAAAAAGAATATATGGCAAAAGTAGACATTGTAGTTTTAAAAAAACTTAAATGTGATTAGATTTTTTTGAATATAAATATCTTGATATTTTTTCTAAATATTCCATAGGAGTATATATATACCCACAATAAAGAAATATATTTTCCCTAATTTTATCGTCTATTTTGTAATATATTTTTCTTCTCTCTGTAACTTTCCTTCCATCATCTAATTGTAATAATTTAAGGTCCATGTCCTGTTCTATAATTTTTATAGTATCAATAAAAAGATAAATGTTAGGATGAGAGTAAGGAAAATATTCTTTCAAAGATCTGTGGAAACCTTCAACATGATTATTTGTCCTTTCACCTCTAACATCAAATGTATTCCACATTTGGTAGTTAAATCTTGCATTACTATTAATCCAAGTATTTTCAAAATAATCTAAAAAGTTGTATATAGAATACAACCCAAAAGAATCAGCTTGTATTTTTAGTTCATTCATAATATATGGCACATCCCGCTCTAATAAAAACGGAATAGCCATAATTATACGGAAAAATTTTTTTACATCATTATTTTGTATATTTATCATGGTCAGACCACATTGCTGAATGCGCCTAACTATACATTGACAAAAATGGAAATAACAGCCTTTGACAAGAATGTTTGGAAAAACATTCTTTAAGGCTAAATATACGCCAATTTCAAAATCAATGGTGGCATATTTTGGGGAAAAATTTAAACCTAAAGTTAAACAATAATTTTTTAATAAATTAAACATATTTATATAAGTATTTTTGTATTTATTAGGTAATAATATATAAACACATACAATTAAGGTATGGTTAATTAAAATATTAATAGTATAAAATTGATAAAATAATTTAGGGGAGGAATTAAAAGTTCCATCCAAAAAATTTTTTTCAGCAAACAAAGGCGTGAAAGAAGAGATCTTGTAGAAAATATAAACAATTTTTTATCATCACAACTATGAACTAAAAAATTAGTTCCAGTCATGGTAATTGTGTGCTCTTGGGTTAATATAATATCGCCATTTGAAAGGGGAAGGGGGGGGGGGGTCGTGTTAATTGAATAACACGTCCCATAATGGATTTAACTGATAAAAAGGTAGGTAACGTTTTGGGGTTTTGCATACAGAAAGGATCGAGTTTTCTGTCTCTCATAACCTTTCTGTATGTCTTTCTAATACTAATATTTTTATTTAACAGAAGTTCTGTTTTAAGCATATTGATCGTGATGAGTGTATTATATATTTCTTCATCATTATGATCAATATGCTTTTGTGTCATTATAAAATAAGTATTTAAAATCCCCCTCCCTTTACAATGTTTTGTATGGCATTTATAATATATTAATTTATCATTAATATACAAATACTTATTAGAATATAAAAAGTCATTATTATATTTTGATTTTATTAATTTATAAATTGATTTTTTTAAAAAAAATAAATCTTGAAAATTGAATGGTGATTGATCTATTTAAAAAGAAAATAAATTTTGAATGTCATTGCAATTAAATTGATATAATGAATATTATTTATATTGAATTTTACATAGAATTGATGCATAATTGATTTCACTGACAACAGCTTCTTGGGTTAGAATAGGAATATCATCTTGAATAGCTTTATAATTGATATAGTAAATGTATTAATCATATTATATATACATGGAATTGATGAATAATTGATTTCACTGACAACAGCTTCTTGGGTTAGAATAGGAATATCATCTTGAATAACTTTATAATTGATATAGTAAATGTATTAATCATATTATATATATACATGGAATTGATGCATAATTGATTTCACTGACAACAGCTTCTTGGGTTAGAATAGAAATATCATCTTGAATAGCTTTATAATTGATATAGTAAATTAATTAATCATATTATATATATATGGAATTGATGCATAATTGATTTCACTGACAACAGCTTCTTGGGTTAGAATAGGAATATCATCTTGAATAGCTTTATAATTGATATAGTAAATGAATTAATCATATTATATATGCATGGAATTGATGCATAATTGATTTCACTGACAACAGCTTCTTGGGTTAGAATAGGAATATCATCTTGAATAGCTTTATAATTGATATAGTAAATGTATTAATCATATTATATTTACATGGAATTGATGCATAATTGTTTTCACTGACAACAGCTTCTTTGGTGAGAATAGGAATATCATCTTGAATAGCTTTATAATTGATATAATAAATATATTGTATTTTACATGGTGAATAATTTGTAATATTTTGTAAATAAGATAAAATTAATGTATTACTTTGACATCCAATACTTGCATATGAAATGGAAGCTTTAATAAAGAGGTAAATAATGTTAAAGGATGATATAAATAGGTTTTACTTTGGCATCCTACAGAAAAATAATTTTTTTGAAGGCAGATTGCATCTATAATATATTAATATAAAATTTATCTATAATTAATATACTCGTGCACTCTTTGGACATGGTAAATAAATTGTTCTTAACAATCCAGCGTCCAAGGCATGGTTTATTTGTGCATGTAAAGTAAGCAGTAAAGCTATTATAGTCTTTATGCTTTTTAAAGTGATTAGGCATAGCCATCTATATAAATATAATTAAGTAATTATAATAGCATAAAATATCTCCTTGTCATATTTAATTAATAGTTTAAAAAAAATTGGTTACCTTTATACTTCCTATTTATATAAACTCAAAGTATTATGCTGGGTTGATTATTGAAAAATGGTATTTAGCTTGTAAATTCAATTTCACCTTTTTTCACCTTTTCGTAAAGCGACAAAACGTAAAAAGTTAATAATAATTCGAGACTACGGGACGATACGAAATTAGATGCATAATAAATTGATAAAATATCTTCATTTATTATAAAATTAAGACTTATAGCCATATATTAACAAGAATATATATAATGTTTTCTTATTTTTATATAAGAAAATTAATGTTATATTAAACATTTGTTCCTATTTACCTAAAATAATTTTTGTTTTATCTGATATTTTATTTTTATGAGATGAAATTGTGTCAAGAGTGGTTAACCAAATTCTTCAACCCTAGCAATGACTCAAGCATTCATATGACACCTTAATATAGTTTGTTAGTGTAAAATTTTTATGAAATATAAGCTGTAGAAACAAGAATTGAATTTTACAGGGTTATGGATGTAAAAATTGATAAAAATCTTAAACTTTTATTTTATTCTCCATTTTAATGTCATGCAATAGATTTAAATATTCAATATTTACTTTGATAATTAATGATGATTATCAATTAAATTCTACTCATCAGGGTTCTGGACTTCCAGGTCTGAGTTTAAGATCCTTAACCCGGTACTAAATAGGAACCCTTAAATATATAGATTTATTAACCTGAACCAATTTTCTTTTGAACCTAAGTCTAGACCAGGTTCAGTCAATTGTTTTATGATTGATTTAGAACAAAAGTATAAAATATTTGTTTATATCCAAGCTTTATATTTGTTTTGCTTTAATATACCATTGTTCTACCTTTTTCAAATTTTTTCTAGTTAAATTTTTAAATGTAATGCAAATGGCTATTGAAAACTTTTTTACAAAATAAACTTACATACTTCATTCTTCTCTATCAATAGTTTGTGTAATTTCTATTAGTACCAAACCTGAACGAATTTGAATTAGGGTTGTCTGGACTTTCCTTAATTGAATTCCATTCCTTAAAAAAGTATTAAACCTGGACCCATATCAAACTTGTTAAATATGATTTTGGTCCAGAACCCTGCTATTTATTATAAAATATTATACCAAAACAAATATGAAATATTACCTCTTGATTTTTATAAAGCATTTTTTTTATTTTTAATTCATTTTATAGCTGTGAATGTTATATTCAATTAGGCAAAAAAATATGAATATGATGAAAATACCATTAATATTTTCTCAGACTGGGGCTATAATTTATTATGTTATCCTGCATGCTGGGCTGATGGGTTGGCTTATATTAGAGATCTACAAAAGTAGGCCTGGCCCTTACCCAGAAACCTGGGCCAATCCAAACAGACTTTGGGCCTATATTTTAAAAAAGAAATCGGGTTTGGGCTGGGCGGGACCTAATATTTTTTTAAAAAATTTGCTAAGTTGGGTCGGGTTTTGGAAATTTTTTTTAATATATCTAAATTTATCAAATTTATGTTGAATTAATAATATAAAATAAAAATATTTGATTTTATTTATAGAAACTAGACACCACATAACATATATCATTTATTTTGAATAATTATAAAAATTAATTTCTATATTTAAATAAATTTGTGCTGGGTCGGGTCAGCAAAACTTTTTTAAAAATATTTCGGGCCAGGCTTAAAAAATTAGGCCCAATGCAGATCACTAGTTTATATTATTTTAATTCTAAAATAATTTAATGTAACTAGTTATTTTTTTAAGAATGTAACGGTAACTAAATACTTTTTAAAAATAATTTTTGATAAAAATACTAATTACGTAATAAATATCGTGTACTAATTTGAAATAAAAAGTAAAAATTCCATTATTTTATATAAATAATTACATTGGACACGGTTGGTAAGTGATATGATATTTATGGGTAAGCTGAAGGTAATTTCCCAGAAAAAAGTTATCCTGAAAGAGAATTCTTAGAAAAAAAATTTATTTCCCTGATATTGTCAAGTTTTATTTTTGTAAATTTTAATTTCGTTTATTAATATAAATTGTCTGTATGATTCGCAAATTCTAAGGGAGAAAATCTGAATAATTTCTTAAGTTTCTGTAATCGCATTAACGACTTGTCAGGAAGTATCCTCAGTGCTGCCGGATGGAGACGACCTCAAGACTGGTAGACCTGGGTGATTAATATCTCCAGGTCATCTTGATCAGGAAAAACAACGGCATGACATTGGGAGCGAGACCCGTTGATGAAAATCAGCCACCGACCCCCGGAGCTCGATGCAAGAGGTGCTACAACTGCCAGGAGGAGGGCCACCTTAGGCATCAGTATTCCCTGCCATCCAGGAATGTCCGCGTGCCAATGGGAGTAGTGTCAGAAAATCCGCGAGTGGTAACTAACGATGGTCGGAAACGAACGTACCGTGAGATGGGACCGGGACAGCCAACGACCTCAGTTCCCCTAAGGCCTGATACGAATATCGATCGGCATCCTCCAACTATTCAAAATTACGACGCCCGTGTCCAGCCCCTGAACGGATCTCGAGGTCCGAATGAGGGAGACCTGCTGCAAAGAGCTGTGGCGACTTTGGCCACCGAGGTCCCTCCGCCAGTCGGTACTGATGAATTCTGGGGAAACCCCATGTCCGCTTAAGGAGATTATTCGTGGCTGTATTCTTATGGCATTAAAGTAAGCTAACTTATTTTTTTTTTTCACCACATCTCAGTCGCGAATATATAGTTGTATTTTTGTATATAAATAAATAATATTAGTACATGTTATATATATTTTTTATAGGCATGCCATAGGCCCATAAAGAGGTGGCATGTCGTATTTTTATATATATATTCATATTACATAATGCCAATCAACCGATTTAAATAAGGTTGATTGGATTATAATTAACATTGAAGAACACGTGATAAAAAATATTCGTGTTCGATTATAATTGTAAAATAACATTATTAAAAAATTATGAGATTTTTTTTCCTGATATATTTTGATTATAGAAATTCTTGTAGAATATACCTAAAACGAAATATTTGTTATTCTATATTCGATTCGTATTTTACGAATACGAATAACACAATTATTCGAATCGAATTCGAATAAGGAAAATATATTATTCGTCGAATAATATTTTATCTATTATTCGATCGAATTATTCGAGATTATTCGACTAAAATAATTTATAGTATTAATATATATTGGAAAATAATCATATATAAATCATATATTATTATTAGGAATTATTTGAAATTATTTCAATTTAATAAAATCTCCTAGTGGAATAATGAAAATTGCGCCAAATTTTGAAACTCCATTTTAATTTATCTCATAATAGACCATTACTTTAGAAATTTCTTTTATGATAGAGATGGACGAAGAAAGTAATTTATATAACACATAACATATACAATTATAATAAACTGTTAATCCCATCACATCAAGAATGACGGGCAAACCTGATATTTCTCTTTCATTTGATGATGGAGAAATCATAAATTTGGCTTTTTGCCTAAAGTTTTTACCACTTTATTTGTAAAATATTGCTAATGCCGTGTTATCTAAAATGGCGAGGGACATATTGTCGATACAGGGATCTTCAACCCCATGTAAGCGACTCTTTTCTGTTGGAGCTCATATGGTTACAAAATACAGAATGTCGTTAAAGGAGGAAACAATCCGAAAAACTTTATGTTTGAAAAATTGGCTGTTGTCAGATTTATCTTCTACATTATAGATATGAATATTATATTGATTTTTCCATATTGTATATAAATATATTATATATATGTATGCTTCTATTTTGTCTCACTAATAAAATTTGTTTGTCTTTATCCTTAGTTAAATTTTACAAAATAAATTTTATAATAGATCTTTTTTAATTCATGGTAAATAAAATTTTCGAATCGAATCGAATAATCATTTTATTATTCATACGAATACGAATAATAAATTATTCGATTCGTATTTTTGTAGGTATATTGTAGATTATTGTGTTTTTTCTGATATTTTGATGATTATAAAATTAGCTTTTTTTATACATGATATATTATTATGAAATATTCATATTTTGGTTTTATATTTTGTGTATCGAAATTGTTGAAACTAAATAAAGAAAATTAACATCATCCAATCGTTTCAATTTAATTGCAAAGTAAGTTTAGGAAAGGTTGGAAGTAAGGGGTGTGTAACTTTTACAGTAAAATATTATTTCTGAAGATGCACTATTAACAGGGCGAGAAAATTTTGAAAAAATTGTATTCAAATATAAATTATTTATTAAATACACTTCAAAAAATATACTGGAATATGAAAATACGTTTTAAAAAGTTAATTTAAATATTAAAACTAGTGCTATATAATAGCGTCAAAAAAGTAAAGTCGTTTTTAATATTGAAGAAAAGGAACGCTATTCATTGCCTACTTCTGGGGGTAACGTGTAGCCCGTTTTTTTCCATTTTTTTTATACCAAATATTTTTTATTATTATTTTTAAAAATATCGAATATTGGCAATAATACTTAAAGTTAAACATAAAATTTTTGATTATTAAACATTTTCTAAAAACATCAATTATCTGCTGTACATAATCGATATCTGTATCTATTTAGATACACTTATATCAAAGTATCTGCATCTAGATTAGGCCTATTCAAAAATAATTCGATTCGAATAATTCGAATCTAATCGAATAATTACGAATACGAATAATAAATTATTTGTTTTATCTAAATACAAATAATTATTTATTTGATTCGAATAAAACGAATGAATTATTCGAATAAAACGAATTATTCGTAATATTTAATAAATTGTTTAAAAAATCTAACATTTGTCATTTCTATTTGTTGACCTGCCAATCGGACAGGTGATGTGTTTGTGTTTATAAAAATTCTAGCACAAATTTAAAAATTTCTGAAGTGAAAATTTAAATTTTTATTTGCCACATTTTTTGAATCTCATAATAAATTATATTAAAAATTACACAAACCAGAGGTATATAAAAATATATTACATTTCTACAATAATTATTGTTAGCTAGCCTAATTATGTTAGAGGAGAATGCTTCTGATGAAATTATGCTTGATGTTGAAGATGAGAAAATTTCCTCACAAAAGAGAGCAATCATATGGGATCAATATCAAATCCTTAAAGATAGTGAAAAGGCTGATTGCAATCATTGTAAGAGTATTATAAAATGTAAAGGCAAAACAACATCTCCTCTTATTAATCATTATAATAGGTTTCATTCACACCTTAGTAAAAAAATAATAAATTGACATTTTTCTAAAGTCTACACCAAATTCTTCAAAAAAACTTAATTTTTAGGATAATTTATTAAAATTATTTGTAAATCATAATATTCCTTTTAAAATTATTAATTCTAATGATTTTAAAAATTTTATAAGTGATCTTGATTGTTCTGTAAAATCAATATGCTCCAATACTCTTAAATTGCACATGTATAATACATTTGCAGAAAAAGAACAATTGGTAAAGGAAATAATATCTAAATATAAAAGTCAGATTAATTTTTCATCTGACATTTGGACTGGCCCAACACAGGTTTCTTTTTTATGGCTAACATCCCATTTTATTGATGATAATTTTAAAATAAATAACATAATTTTGGATGTCAGTCCAATAAATGAAACACATTCAGGTGAAAATATATTTAAAGCCTTTGTCAAAATAATTAAAAATTATAATTTAGAGAATAAAAAATTTTATATAACTTTAGATATGCAACTAATAATAAAACATTTATTGATACATTTTCCTTAAAATATCCCTTAATAAAAATAGGGCACATCCGATGCTTTGCCCATGTAATTAATTTAATATCCAAAGATATTTTAAAAATTTTAGACCCTTCAATTCTAAAACTAAGAAACATTATTAGAATGATTCGTAATTCTCCTCAAAAATTAAATTTATTAAAATATATGTAGTTCCCTACATCCTCCCCTAAATTTTTTAAAACCAAAATTGGATTGTGAAATAAGGTGGAATAGCACCTATCAAATGATTGAAAGGGGCTTATTGTTAAAGCCTGCTATAACAAAATTAGTTAATGAAGTAATAACTAACATTAAAATTCTTCAAGAAAAACAAATATCAGAGGTAAACTAAAATTTATAATTAGGTAATAATATAATACTTTGATAACGTATAGGAAGAATGGGAGGATCTTATAAAAATTAAAGCTATACTATTGCCTTTATACGAAACTACAAATATGATATGTGGGGAGAATTATCCTACTTATAATTTGGTTATACCTTATTATATTTTAATTCTTGAACATCTAAAAAATGAAAAACCTGGTTTCCATAAATCCTTTAACAATAGTTTCAAAGTAGCATGTGATAAATTGTTGGGCTATTATAGTTTAACTGCCGATGATGCAATAATAACCACAATATTAGATCCCAGGCTTAAAGTAGAATATTTTAAATCAATATCTGTTGATTATGATATTGATATATCCAAGTTAATGGACAAATTTAAAGAGATTTACAATAGATATACAGGTATATAATTTACCCCCATTTAAATATGATTTTATTTTATAAGCTCATAATTTAAACTGTCAAACAAATAAGGATAAAATTCAACAAAACAGGCTAGACATTGTTTTTAAACAAAATAATATTCAACTGTGTGAAATAGATTTTTATCTGAGTGAACCAAGAGCAAAGAGTGATACTGGCCCGTTAATGTGGTGGAAGGCAAATGCATATCGGATCCCCATACTCTCAAAAATGGCAAGGGATTATCTATCTATACAAGGAACATCAACTGCTTGTGAAAGGCTTTTCTCACTTGGAACTAATTTATTGTCAAAAAACCGAATGTCATATAAGGAAGAAAATATAAGAAAAACTCTTTGCCTTAAAAATTGGCTTAAATTATAAATTAAATTAATAATATATATTTTAATTTTGTTTATAACTTGATTATATATTATTTATTATCAGATTATTGATTACATATTATTATAATTTTTTCTGTTTAAAATCAAATTTGTAATAAAAAAATTTGTCAATATATTTGAGTATGATTTATTTTATTAAAAAAATTAATTCGAATCGAATACAAATACAAATAGTAGATTTTATTATTCGTACGAATTCAAATAGTAAATTATGAATAATGCACTATTCGATTCAAATTCGTTTTTGAATAGGCCTAATCTATATACTATTTTAGACGTTTTTTATCTTAAAAATAAATATATTTGAATAAAAAATTTACCTGATCTCATATGAGCATAAAATTTAAATAAATATATATTAAAAAATATTAAGATTAGTATAATAAAAATTAAAAAATACATATACAAAATATTAACTTATATATAAAAAAAAATATAAAAATGTTCATTAAATTTTTTTTTCCCCCACATTTAATTAAACCTATAGATATTAGTTTAAGATTGTGAAGGATATTCTTATCATTTAAAGGAATATAATCCTTGCTTAACCATAACGCCCCATAATGATTAGAAACAATACCATTGTAGCACAAAATTATTTTAAGCAAATAAATTTATTTATAATTTTTTGAAATAATTTTATAAATACACCGCTAACTTTTAATGAATAAACTATAAATTTAATGTAAAATTTTTTATTTTTAAATAAATGCGCATTTTAAATGAGAATTTGTTTGAAAGAACGATAAAAATAGTGGTATTGACATTTTTTTATAATTTTTTTTTATAATTAAATGAAAACAAAATATTAAAATGTTGTTTATGTATTTTGTGCTCTCATAATAAGTGTTTCTGTTCTAGACGGCGAACCCTGTATATAAGTATGATAAGCATTGTATCTTTATCTAGATACATTTTCAAATTGTACTATCTAGATACGCTTTTATACGATGTATCTGTGTCGATCCATTTAAAAGGTAACTTTTAG